AGGATTTGATTTGTTCTTGAAGAAGGCATTATACATTCGCAAGTTCCTGTTGTGGGTCGACCCGTCACATATTTGTAACAAATATGCACACTTAATTTGTTAAATGCCATACTCTCGTTTATGTTATTTTTTAAATTTGATATGTTCTTGAAGGAGGCATTATACAGCAAACGAATTCTTGTGTGAGACAACCTAACTATTAGACAGGTTGACCTGTAACACCATTATAACAGAAATATGTCATACTTTTGTTTATGTTAATTTTTCGGAGAATGACATTTCAGTTTGAAAGTCTATGCATAACCATTAGGTCTGCCTAACAGTAGCCTTACTGTTCTTTCCAGGATGAAAGTGGAAATAACTTGCTTTATGTGTTTAAAATCTTGAATTAATATCCTATTTATTTATTTTTTTCTTTTCTTTTACTCCTTCAGGAAGTTCCACACCATTTGGTTGATATATTACACCCTTCTGAAGGTAATGGCAGTTAGATGATATTGTCCCTATACTTATTCTGAAATTTCTTTGTTGGGGCTAAGAAGTTTTGCTTGTATATGATGTATTCATGTTTTTATGATCTGATACCAGATTCTGTTAAATAAATCAGGAAGTTGAACTCCCATGTTTATATATCTTTAAGCATAGCCCTTGGGTCAATGGATTACTAGTTGTGAATGTGACTCCGACCTGGGTTGTGAATGCAGTTGAGGTCATTTAAAAGCTGCTTTACTCGAAAAATCACGTTTTTTTAATCCTCTTATATCTATATAAGGATTATATCTGCAATGTTCACATATGCTTATTTGGTACTGAGGAAAACAATTTTTTTTTTTTGTATAATCAGATTATTCTGTTGGACAATTTTACAAGGATGCAAGGAAATTGACTGGAGAAATTCTTAGTAGAGGCCATGTGCCAATAGTCACAGGCGGCACTGGGCTGTACTTGCGGTGGTAAGTCATGTTAGATTTTCGTCATGTCTTTTATGAAGTGTGTTTTTCCAAAAAAAAAAAAAAAAAAA